AGCACTGTAGCGGAGCACTGTAGATATACAAAGAAGAATAAATACCCTTTACCAAGGATTGAGGACCAAGGATTGTTTGATAGGTTAGGAAAGGCAAAATACTTTTTGAGGATTGACCTAATGTCAGGATACTACCAGATTAAGGTAATAGAGGAAGATGTTAAAATGTCAAACAAGGTATGGGAGCTTTGAGTTTCTAGTAATACCTTTTGGGCTGTGCAATATACTAATAACATTTTCGACGCTGATGAACCACATCTTTGTACCCTATCTAGATCACTTCGTAGTCATTTATATTGATAATATCTTAATCTATAGCGAGATGCTATAGGAGCATACCGAACACTTGACGAAAGTGTTTGAGAAACTAAAGGAACACAAATTGTATGCTAAAGAGAGAAAATGTGACTTTACTCAACAAAAGGTAAAATTTCTCAAGCTGTTTTGAAACAGAGTGGTGTTCTTCTTAAAGAAGTTACCAAAATCTCTCCCAATCCCCTTCCATGGGTTAGACTAGACTTAAGGTTTTGCTACACTCCCCACAAACACAAACAGCAAACCTCTAAGTTCTTAACATCCCTTGGTACAATAAAACTTGATCATAACACCCTCTAAATCCCAAACCTTGGGTGCAACACTTGCTTTGGGGCACCGAGGGGAAACACTGTGGCATAATAGCCCGGTATGGGTACCTCTACTCCCCCACTTCCATCCCGAAGGGAAGGCCCAAGCCCCTAGGAAGGGGTGAGAACCAATGAGTCACAAGGGGAGTTGCTAAAGAGTTCCTTCAAGGCTGATTCCTAAACCTCAATCTCAAATCTCGAACTCATTCTCGAACTCGGTTTCGGAGTCGGCCTCAAACTCGATCCTAGACTCTATCTTGAACTCAATTTTAGAGTCAGTCTTAGACTCGATTTTAGACTTGGTCCCATCCAATGAACTCTTTATCATTTCGATCATGCCTTCAGGGATCCTTTAACATACGACACTTTGGGGAGTTGATTCTTTACAATTGAGCACTTGGACTAAGTGTGAAGTTGATATGGTCTTGAGATCACATCTAAGGTAAATAAATACCTTAAGGCGGATAAAAACTTATGTAGGTTGTGAGTGAAACTCATTCAAAAGGTTAAAAGCATAGTTAAATGATTAAAGTAGAATGGAAAATTTAATTGCTTGTAATACCTAACTAAAAAATCTAGACACTTTTCATAAATAGCTAATAGGACTAAATGAGACCAACTCATGGGATATAATAGTGAGAATGTCTTAATGAACACGATAAACTATCATCTAACAAATATTGAGGGACCAAACTCAATATTATAGTGGTTTTTGTTAAGTTGGTGCAAAATAAAATTAACAAATAAAGCCAAGTTTACTTCATTAAATAAACACTTAAGAATTCCTTTTTTATGCTCATCAAGTGAAGTATAAATGTTAAGTTTAGTTTACTAACACTTGAACAAAAGGGATTGATAAAGGGTTTAGCAATGCCAATCTCTTGCTGTTGTAGTCACTAACAGATAACTTTCAATACTTACAATCATATTTGTGATAGATGCTTAACCCCAAATATTTTAATACCCTTAACTGATTAAAAAAGAAGGTACATTATTATTTATAAACCATTTCCTATAGTGTGGTTCTTTTAGCTAACTAATAGAGTTGAATTTGAGACCTGTTAAATACCAAATGTAAGCTCTTGAGTTTGAATGCCAAGAAGTTTCCCAACACAATACTACTTAAACTTAAGAATATTTAACCCCAAATATCCTAATTAAATAAAAAGGTGCATTTTTATTCATAGACTCTTTCCTTTTATATTTAAACTCTAAAATCACCTCTTAAGTTGTTATTTTTAATTGTTTATAAAATTTTATTGGAATATTAGCATTTGAGAGAATAAAAAATAAATCTATTGCTTAGATAAGTAATCTTTTGGGTCACTCTTGACTTCAGCTAGCTTCATTCAGTCGTCTAGTGGTATGAAATATATAAATGAATTTCAAAACTGGATTTTGACATTGAAATTGCAATAGGCTATTAATAAGAATATTTCTAGAATAATATTATAGATGCTTGATAGAAAGAATTACAATGGATGGAAGATAGAAATTTTTTTTTAAAAGTTGAAATCTAAGTTACATATTTAGAATTTTGATGAATTAAATCAATTTCCAAAATCTATTGGATTTTTAACCAAATATAATACCTTCGTGGTAAATTATATCTTCTTATAAAATTATTGTCTGAATGTGGATTGGTATATGTACTATTGATGATCAGAGTAACTTAAGACAAAGTATTTATAATAAGAGCTTTACTACAGAACTTATAAATGAAGTGGATGGAAAAGCTTGGAAGGATATTTTGGGTCCATAAAAGTAATTGATTTAAATAGATATGATGAACTTTTCCAAGTTAACCTTTTCTTTGGAAAGAAATCAAGGTGTATATAACCCTTTTAGAAGTTCCTTAATTAATGGTCCAAATGTAAAAGGCTCTACATTAAGGTAAAAGCTGCTATCTCTTTTCAACTAAATGGCAATTTCGTAACGAAAGATACACCAATTTAGGCACTGAGTTAAGGCAAAGCTTTTTTATTGGTTGTTAATTTCATGTTTTATCTATCATCTCTCTCTCTCTTACGTGAGTGCACTATTCTAAAGAATTATCATCACCTTTTTTACTTTTTCTAATATAAACTTTATAAAATAATGAAACACCGCAGCTAGCCTAGTTGTATAAAGTCGCCCTACGTAGAAAGAAAGAGGTGGTGGTGGTGGTGTGTGTGTGTGTGTTGTATATAGTGTGGGTCAGAGGGGCCAGTGGCCAGGCTTGTTGTGTGTGTCACGACTGTGCGAAAATTGTCTCGCGAGTGTGCCTGCCAGTGCTTGTGCTGCGCTGCACACATCTTGTGTGGGGTGTGGGGCAAAAGCCCAGTACGGACGCCACTGTCGTACTCGAAGGAGTGGCCATTGTCTAGTTCCTCGAATGCAGCACCGCAGACAACAATGCTTAGTTTATTTCGCGGCACTGGGGATTGGAGGAGCGGCGCCGCCTGGCGGCAATGGCTTAGATTGCGAAGAATCGATCGATGGAGCGAGCGTAGAGAGGCACAAAAAAACACAAGGATCAGTGAATGATCTCATCTCTATACAACACGAAGAAAAGAAAGAAAGACCAAGGAAAGAGTTAAAAACAAGAGTGAGGGCTGGAAGGAATCCAGTCGATTCTCTATCAATTCATCCCTTGGGTGTTGAGAAAGCAGCTGCAGCGCTCTGTAGCAATGTTGACATTTCAGTGTATTTAAAAAGATATAGAAAAAAAATAGTAAGAAGTACTCTTTTTTGCACCGAACGAATCCATGGTTTTCTTGTTGCTTTGCGATACCCGTCTTTAGACTTGTCTTCGCCGTATAGAGGGAGAGCTTTCCAGGAGCATTATACAACACCGTACACGAGGCGCAATGGCCTGTCTCTACGGACGGGGGTAAAATCCGGATCAAACTCCAGGGGAAAGCGTCTAGATGATTTTACTGCCGTAACTTTGTGGCTTGGCAGTACGCCGTCGGGCGTGTTTTTACTAGTTTTGGAACGTTAAAAGGTTTCTAAGTACAACCTCTTACGCCATTGCATGCACGGTTGGCGGTTTTGTTCGTAGCTAGAATATGCGCGCGGGAATATGCTCTCGCCGTCCAATCAGTTTGTGGAGGCTCCCTTTTGCCTTTAGTTTTTTGGAAGAGTGGGGTCTGAGAGCTTGTATAGACAGGAAGAAAATTGGACGCAAACATCTCAATCGAGCTTTTCTTTGGGACGGGCGGTTTCGTTGTTATCTCGTTATTGGTTTGGATTTTGTTTTCACGAGCGACTAGTCCATTGAATCGGGCATTCTCGAAATTGTCAAAGTGGTGGCCCGTTTTCATTCCCAGACGAAAGTGGTGTGAAGGTGTTTCTTGACGCGCAAATCTTGACCATTGAGATATCTGTGCATTTGATTGACAGGTCTACGTCTCTCACAGGGTTTCTAGAAGAACACTTGAATTCGATTCCATTCAAGCTTTCACGGTTCCGGGCTTTAAAAAGTTGGCGTAAGTTGGGATAATCCCTTTTTCTTTAGTTTTGTTGGCATTGTTGCTTGTTGCGTGGATCAACACACGTTTTTCTTTTCTTTAGGGCAATCATGGCTGCACAGCTTCATACAAAGTTGTGCATGGGACCCTGTGTGCTTGATTTTGAGCCCGCCTCGGGCTTGTTTGTTTACCAATTTCCTTGCATTTGCCCAACGCGGGCATCACATTGCCCTCTTGTTTAAAGGCTCGAGTGATGACTATCATGGATTGCACCAAAAGTTTGGATCCGACAAATATACCCAACTGAAGAACCCTAATTTAATAGCTGGGGAAAGCTGGGATCAAGCATTGTTTGTCTTGTCAATGTTCGTGATTGAGATTGGAATTTCTTTTTTAACCAGTGGAAATGGAAATAATAAAGGAGGGAGTTTAAAAGTCAAACTAGAAACGAGGTAAAAACTTTGGATGTGTGTGGGTGATGCTATCATTTTGTTTCTTTCCTGTCACTCATTCATTCATGTAATGAGCGTGTCTATTTGGCATGATTGTGTCCGTTCCGTTAGATCCGCTGGAGCATCGACGGTCAGCTCCCACAGCCACGTTTAAACCCCGTCCATTTCAGATTTTGGCGCGTATCTCTGGCCGTTGGAATCGCCCGGGCATTCCGCCGCATCGGTGTACATCTGGCCGTTAATCACCTGGCGCATTCCGAGAGTTCTTTCTTCTAGGCCCCTAGCCTCCTCTCTTCTAGTTTTTCTCATCGTCTCCTTTTTCCGATGATACCCTTGTGTCGCTCCCTTGGCTGTGGCGCCGTAAGGGACGGTCGATAGCAGTACAAGAGCGGCGGATTTTCGCGGCGCTCACCAGGACGATCCAAATCCATCCAGTCCAGTGTGTGCAGGAGGAGGATTCAAGGTCAGCTCACTCTCTCCACGAAATCCTTCGTTCTCGAAATGCGGTGGCTTTCTTGATAATCCGTCTTAGAGGGAGAGTTCTTTCTTTCATCTATTGTTGAAAATCTCTGGATCGGCGAGATTGGAGAGCTTCTTGTCTCGTTTTCTTTCCTTTTGACCGGGGCACGATATTCACAATCTCTCTTGCGGAAGAATGAGCTGGAAAGAAGAGAAAAAAAAGGACTACCTATAAACTAAAGGGGACATTCATGCGTAACTGACCTCTGTCATCCTTGCCGCAGGGAGCGAGATAGGATTTCCAAACGCTCACGTTTTCGTCGAGAGATATATCGAGCTTGATCTCTTGGAGACATCGACATACAATCTTTGTCGGGAAGATTTTCTCATCGTGTCTCGAGCATGAGCTGCGATGAATCAGTATTTGCAGCCCAGTGACCTGCATTGGACAGCTGAGAACTGGGAACTCCAGACCGGTGGTGGTGGTGGTGGTGGATCAAGCGTCATAGTCGGCGGCAGTGACTCTCTAAGTTCAAGGCATCCAGGGGCTCATCGTCCATCGGAGTGGGAGTGGGAGAATTATCAGCAGCTTGCAGCTCAAAATATGGCCGCCACTGATAGCGTCCATGACGCTGGAGAACGATCAAAGATGTCTCAGCTAGTTCCTGGTTTTCTCAAGCCGATCTTACAGTCTTCCTCTGGGAGCCTCCACAGCGTTACCAACGTTGCTCATGGTCTATTCCAGCCACACCAGCAGCCTTTCATGCCAGGAAGTCACGGGATCTCAACTCTAGACTTTCGAGGACTTGGAGGAGTCGGGGGACAGGGAGAAGCTCTAGAGGCCGCTCAGCCACTACCGTATGGATCGCAAGGCTTTCCAGGTGTGGCAGCAGCGGTTCTTCCTTTCGCAAACATGAGTGGAAGTTTTGTTCCGGGAAGCGGCCACGATCCAAGGTTGTTTCAAGAGCAGCGGAGACGACTGTATGGGCTGCTGGAGATGGATCCCAGGAACTTCGCCGACGGCATGAAAAGGGAGGATTTCTACGCAACAGCGGAGGCCAACGCTCGAATCGGGCTGAATCTGGGTGTGAGGACGTACTTCTCGACGGAAGACACGCTAGCGAGGCTGGGGAAAAGGCCCCGAGCAAATTCCCCGGGAGCTCAAGTACCACTGTGTCAGGCGGAAGGATGCAAGGCCGATTTGAGTGGAGCAAAGCACTATCACCGTCGACACAAAGTGTGCGAATTGCATTCCAAGGCGGCTACTGTCACTGCAAACGGGCAGACCCAACGCTTCTGCCAACAATGCAGCCGGTAACTCTTAGCAGATCTCTTCTCTTCCTGATCATGCCAGCTTGTTTCCTCCAGATTTCATCCGCTCAGCGAGTTTGACGAGGGGAAACGAAGTTGCAGGAAGCGGTTGGCTGACCACAACAGACGAAGGAGGAAGCCTCAGCCCGTTGTCTCTTCAGCAGCGGTGCCAAAGGAGGAGGAAGGTACGGACTCATAAAGTTGCTTCTTTCTCTCTCTCTCTCTCTCTCTCTCGCTCCCCTCTCTCACCAACAGTCGGACAAGTTTCTCAAAAGTTCAAGCTTTTTACTTGTTATTGTTCGTGTTCCAGCAACAGCCGACGAAAAGCTCCCCACTTCTCCGACATCCTCGCAAGAGCACTCGGACAGCAAGACCGCAGGGTCGGGTGACAGCCTACAGTTACGGTCTCCGCGCGTATCAGCAACAGCTAGTAAGCCCGAGGACGCAAGTGGTGCTCACTCTGCTCTGTTAAGTGACCGGCCACCGGGCAACACCCAGGCCTTGCTCTCGGCCTTGTCCCCCAAGAACACGGAGGAGGCACCCGCCGGCTACGATCTTCTCGCCAAAGGGGCGAGCTTATCTCTCTCATCGCCGGCAGCAGCAGCAGCAGCTGGCAGCTCAGGTGGACAGCAGCACTCGAGCGTGGTTGATGTCGACGGGCATGATCATGTCAACAGCAGCGGGATATCGATATCTTCGTGGCTGAAACCTCCGCCAGAGCCGAAGAACAGCGGCAGCATTTCAGCGTCGTTAGCTGGCTTCGGCGTCACGGCGAACAGTACAGGTGCTTCGGCTGGCAGTAGCAGTTCGTCACGGTCGTCCCTTCACAACGTTTTGCAGTCGTCCCCTCCTTTGGACAGTCAGAGTCGTGGTTGGGCTTTCACGGCAACAAATGCGGGTGGTGGTGGTGGAGACCAAAGTCAGCAGCTCCAGTCTTACGATACTTTGCGGGCAGCAGGAGGTTTGGATGGACAGCAGCATCAAATCTATGGCTTGATGGACAGTAGTAATGCGTTTGCATCTTCACCGCAGCAGCAGCAGCAGCAGCGACACGTGAACGAACCAGGCATTAATGATCACGTCCGAGGGGGCCGTCTCATTCATGGAACTTAAGAAGCATTGAGCCCGTGGCCGAAAGGAACGGGAAATCGTCAGTCGAGGAAGGACTATGCTGGACGTAATTTAAACGTGACAACAAGATTCAAGAACATCAAATGCCGTCTCGATCGAGATGGTAACTAGCAGCAGCAGCAGAGCGTTGGACCGGGAGGCATGCTTACAGCTGATAAGATCGTCCAGGACAGTGGCCATGGTGGAGGAGGCTCACTCCAAAGCTCGGCATTTACTACCGCTGGACGTGTTCGTCTCCAACATGCTCGTCCAGAGATATGGGAGGTGTGGCAGCGTCGAGCATGCTCGCAGGGTCTTCGACTCCATCCCGGAGAAGAACTTCTTCTCGTGGGTTTCGCTGCTCGGTGCGTATGCCGCGAACGGTCGCCTGGACGAGGCCGCCAGCGTCTTCAACGGGATGCCCGAGTGGAACTCGGTGGCTTGCACGGCGATGCTGGTCGGATATGCCCAGAACGGGCAACTGGAGAAGGCACGGGGAGTGTTTTGGAGCATGAAGCAGCGTGACTTGGCGTCGTGGAACGCATTCCTGGCCGTGCTTGTCAACGAAAGACAGGATCATAGGCTGCTAGAGGCACGGAAGCTCTTCGAGACAATGCCAGCGCGGGACGTAGTTACTTGGACCACCTTGCTTGGGGCGTATGCCCAGAGGAACCATCTGTTCAACACCAAGGACCTGTTTGATTCGATGCCGGTGAGGGACCTCATCTCATGCACGGCAATGCTGGGGGCATACGAGGATAGTGGCGATCTCCGAAACGCGAGCTTCGTGTTTAAGTCGATGGAGGAAAGAGACATCATATCCTGCTCGGCTCTCCTTGCGGTCTATGCCCAGGAGGGGCATCTCGAACAAGCTCTCAAGCACTACCACTCCATGCCTGAGCTCAACGTGATCTCCTGTACCACGATGATCACCGTCTACTCGAAGAACCGGCTCGTCAACCAGGCCCAGCAGCTGTTCGACTCCATGCCCGAGCACAACCTGGTGTCGCGGACGTCGATGCTGTGCGTCTTCACTCTCAACGATCGCCTGGAGGAAGCCAAGCATGAGTTTGACAAGATGCCGGAGTGGAACTCGGTGGCGATCACAGCGCTCATCTCCCTCTACGCCCGAAGCGGATACAGTCTCAGCTTTCTAGAGTCATCGGGAGTGGCTCTAGACACCATGGCCAGCACTGCTCTCTTGATCGGGTATGCCCAGGACGGTCATCTAGAAGCGGCAAAGTCGGTATTTGATTCCATCCCGGCCTGTGACGCGGTCGTGAGGACGTCCATGCTGAGCTCGTACGCACTGCTGGGGAACGTCCGAGGTGGAGAGCGGGTCTTCCTTTCAGCACCTGAGCAGGACGACTTCGTGCTCTGGAACGCGATGCTGGCTGCGTATGCCCAGAATGGTCACTCCACCCAAGTTCTCGAGCTCTTCTTCACGATGGTGTTGCTGGGTCTCAAGGTTCCGCCGGATGGAGCATCGTTTCTCAGCATCCTGCTCGCGTGTAGCCACCTGGGGAGAGTCCAAACAGGCTGGTCTTGCTTCGTCTCCATGGCTATGGACTACGGACTGCAGCCGCTCAAGCAGCACTACAACTGCTTCGTCGATCTGCTGTGCCGGACGGGATTTCTGGCCGAGGCCCGAGAGTTGATCCAAATCATGCCGTTTGATGCCGATGGAGTCGAGTGGAGGAGCTACCTCAGAAGCTCGGTGGAGGCCGGCAACACGGTGGTCGAGAACTTGGACGTGTGCAAGCGGGATTCTCCAGGAGCTTACGTGCTGCTGGCAAATTTGCATAAGAATCGTCAGGGAGGAATGGCATTTGCATGGAAGAAAGGCCGCAGTAGCTTGCCTGATTGACGAAAATTTTCGATAGTTTGTTCTAGAGGCCGATGCTCTTTAGTTTTGATTCTATCTCTTGTGACCTTCCTTTGGAGCTCCAACTTCAAAGCACAAGGAAGGAAATAAGATCTAAGAACACAAGAAAAGAAGAGTTTTCTGACCTCAAGCATATGTATAGTTTATGTCGATCGCAATGCTAGCGAGAGAGATTCCTATTCTTTTGGAGAAAGAAAGAATGGATAAAATGCGACAGCGCCGGCATTGCGCTCCGCCATAGCGCCGGCATTCGCCATAGCTGCCATCGCGAAGACGAGGCCCTAATTTTTCTTTAACACCCTGGATCCAACGGTGATCCCTTAACATCCAAAGTTTTAGTAAAATAGAAAATAGTATATGCAAAGAATCTTCAGGAAACTGGCACACTAGGTAGGGTTTGCTTCGCGTGTGTGCTCCGGGCGACGAATTCCGCCCGCCCAGAGGGAATTTCACTGGATTCGCAGCAGTGCGCACTAGAATCGGTGCGTGTGGATTGCCGGAGCTGGATTCGGGCCCCCGGGAGCGCCGGTCAGCGATTGCATTGCGCATTTGAGGTCAGTGCTGCTCGGGCGCTTAGGGTTTATAGCAGCAGCGTGAGATCTGGGAGAGAGCAGATTGTTGCGCGATAAGCTGTCACCCGTGGCGCAGATCCTGTCAACAATGGCAGGGGTCTTCTGGAAAATGGCCGCCACATCGCCGGTATGTGGAACCAATCTTTGCTTTTGGCATTGAGTTGATACTGTTTTGTGCTGCCAGATCGAGTCCATACTGGACAAGAGCGGCTACACGCTCGAGGAGCTCCTGGACGAAGAGCAGATAATTCAGGAGTGCAAATCCACGAACTACAGGCTCGTAAACTTGTGAGTGCATGGTTTTGGATCTGTCAAAGCAGAGAATTCTGATGTGTTTCCCCCCCTTTTTTTTCTCTTTGGATTGGCACAGTTTAAGAGGAAAGGCTCAAGTCCAGCAAATGATCCGCTACATTGTGGAGGAAGCTCCCGAAGGAGCATCCAGTGAACGGGCTTTCAAGTTTGTAAACTCTCGTCCATGTGAAAAGTGTATGAGCTCTCGGATTCATGTGTTTCCTCTTGCTTTTCAGGTTCCCATTCATCTCCTGTCAAGTCATCACGTGTGAAGTTCAAGATATCCTGAAGACACTCGTGGAAGATGAAGAGGTATTCTCGGTTCTTGGACTTTTTGTGCGGTTTTTGCGTGCTGATACCTTGCTGGCTTTTTTCGCAGCTCCTTGGATTCTTATTTTCTTTCTTGGATCCTTCCTGGAAACATGGAACGCTGTTAGCCGGTTATTTTAGCAAGGCAGGTGTGCTTGATAGTCAACGTTTACTTATCTGATCCTTTAAAGTGGTTTGGCAGGTCGTGATTTGCTTGTTGATTCGAGAGCATGCAGCAATCATCCGCTATTTGCAAGTAGGTGCACAAAGTGAACTCTGAACTTCCATTTATCCTGCCGTGTTTGTTCTCATTGAAGGGACATAAAGATCTCCTGAAAAACCTTGTTGACTTGATTGGGATCACCTCAATCAAAGAGGTACGTTTTCCATTTGCCTATTTCTAGCTTCGTTTCCTTTTTGTAAAGCTTAAGAAATTACTAGGTCCTAATGAGGCTCGTGGAGGTTAGTGATCACGTGATTGCATATCACGTTGAATCCTTGCAATGGCTAGCAGAGGAAACTGATATTTTGGAGATGCTGGTGGATAAGCTTAACCCGCAAGTAAGTTCTTTCCGGTCTTAAGTTTTCCTTCTAAAAGTCGTTTGTTTTGTAGTATCCTTCTGAAGTACATGCGAACGCGGCAGAGACGCTAGCAGCTATAAGTCGTTCTGTTCCATCTGACCACTACGGCAATTACAGTGGACCCTCTGCTCTGGGTTCGAAACTGGCCAGCCCACGGTAGGGAGTTATATTTGTGGTATATCTTATTTGCAGCGTTCTTGCAGGTTTGTGGCTAAACTCTTTAATCTCGCATTGGAGGATCAAGAATCAAAATCAGCTTTGATTCATTCTCTCTCTGTTTGCATTTCATTATTGGATCCAAAGCGCGCGTCGTCGGCTGGTCTAAGATCTCGTCCACCGGCTGAAATGCCCGTAGCAAGCCCGGAGACGGTTGAAGGGATGCTTCAAAGTCTAGGTGTGCTTCCTGATTGGCTTTCTGGATGAGGCTAATGAGCGCAATTTTTATTATGCACAGGAAGTTTGCTACGTTTGTTGGACATTGTCGACGACACCAAGAGGCTCCCAACTACTTACGGTGAATTAAGGCCTCCTTTTGGTATACATCGCCTTAAGGTATCTGATGCTGTTCTTTACTTTTCTACTTTCTCGTCTAACGCACGAGCAGATTGTAGAATTTGTTGCTGTCCTGCTAAGAACGCAAAGCGAAGCTGCTCGTCAAGAGTTAATTCGGTTGCAAGCATTACAAACGATTCTTGGGTTCTTTTTCGAGTACGTATGGTGGCAAAACTGCAAAATTCTTTTCTGATATACTTGTAATGGCAGCTATCCTTTTAACAACATGCTACATACTCACGTTGAAGCAATCATTACCTCATGCATAGAAGACGGTGGTCTGACAGACAATTTGTTTGGGGACTGTGACTTCCTGTCACGGTTGTTGGCAACAGATGAAAATCAATATGCGCACGATACGCGACCAGAGGTAACTCAGTTCAATCCGACCTAGTGGTATTGACTTCTTTTTAATTTCAGAGCGTATCGAAAAAAAAGCCTCCACCTAAAGTTGGGAACATGGGTCACCTTACTCGTATTGCTAATAGGCTTGTACAGACGGAAAATTCTAATCCACGGTTGCAGGGTTACCTTCAAGTATGAATCTTGTGTAGCTGCTGTATTCTTATCCTTATACTACGTCTATTTTACAGTCGCATCCCAGGTGGTCTCAATGGCAGAGCACTGTTCTTCAGCAGCGTAATATGCTAGAGAATGTATTTCAGTGGACGTGCGGGTAAGAGAGGATCCGTTGTTAGGTGCTCTCTTTTTCATTTTGATTTGTGCCAGGCGGCCAACGTCAATCAGGGAGCGGCCTGTAGAAAGTGATGACGAGGAGTTCCGTGAGAGAGACTTTGACGTCTCAGCAATGGCTACCAATTTGACACGGGAAGTATTTCGATACGGGATATTTGACGACGAAGATCCTGACGAGGTGATGCAATTTTTTAAAACGTAGTAAACTAACACCCTTGTTACTCTGCAGATTTCCGGCCCTGTCGGAAGGGAGGATGAGGTTTGTATAAGCTTGCACTTAACTTGTATGCATCAACACTGAGCACTTTGTTTTGTAGGACGTTTATTTCGACGATGAAAGTGCCGAGGTTGTTATTTCTTCTATTCGCTTGAGCGATGAGCAAGAAAGGTACGAGCTTACAAGCTTGCCTTGGTTGCGGTATGAGTATTTGCTAACGTGTTTGTGTGACAGGGCTCCAACATGGTTTGATTTTCAGGACGTTGAGCCAGATAACCTCACTTCTTCGGCTGGGAATAGCAATGCTCAATTGAGTGCGCTAAGCAGGAGCTTCCGTGACGATGAGGTTGTGGTTGGAGAGGACAGTGAGTTGCCGTCTGCAAACGAGCCATCTGGATGGGGTGACAGAAATGGAGTAGGAGGCACAGACAACGCAGCCTTCAATCTGGATTACTTTTCAAGGTCTTCAGCAGACTGGGCTAACTTCCAAGGCTACGAAATATCCGACGAAGCTATCAAGAGGGATGACTTCGGGGAGAACAACCCGTTTATTGTTTGCTTTGACGACCAATCGCGCGGCGTATCAACAACTTTAGATGGGGAAGAGACCAAACAGGAAGCAGCAAAGGATGAGGCTCTCGGAACAGAAGCTCAACCTGACACAGTTGTCGGGGTAGAGGAAGGAGCAACAGCGAAAGCAATGGAGAGTGCTTTAAAGGAAGGGGTTGTCGGAGAGGCAGGGCCTCTAAAGCCAAAGGAGATGCACTTGGAGAACACCGTGCCGCCGGAGGACAAACAGGGAGCTTCCGAATTCAACGACGTCAATTACTGGCGAAGCGATTACGAGAACGCAGTTGCTGGAGAGCAAAGCTAAACAGGAAAGATAAAAATGATGGAAGGTACGAGGTTTTCATTCTTTCAAGCGTCACACTTCTTCCAGCTGCTCTTTCTGTAAATTACAAGGTGTATCTTCTCGCGAAATCTGTAACTAACATTATGTTGGCTGGGGCCGGGGTATCACGGGACAAGGCTCCTCACGTCAAAAGGACTTGTACGCATCTCTATTCTTTCTATTGAATCTTGTTTATTCACCTATCTAATAAAGCCGAGATGATTTTACAGGTATCGTTGCTCGTCTGTCGGTCATTCGACGTTCGTCGCCCATGTTTTAGAGGAGAGCCGCTTCGTCTGCGACTTTCTGTGTAAACACTTTTTTCTTCTTTGTGTAGCTAATCCTTGCAAAGCACAGCAGCAGGAATATGACGAGCACTGTGATCACCCCGGTGATCCACAGCACCATTGCCAGCTTGTGGAAGAGTAGAAAGTTCCAGCACGGCTTGAGTCCCAGGTCCTTTCGACCGCACAGGCCAGCATTGCCTCGAAAGGAGCTCTGGCTTAAAGCGGACAAGACTCCGGTGTCCGGAACGGGTCCGGTGAGACGGTTGTCCGAGAAGTTTGCAAAGATGAGCGAAGGCATGGCAGTCAAGAGAGGTGGAATGGTTCCCGTCAGCAGGTTGCTGGAGATGTCGAGCAATCCCAGCAGCCTCACTGATGCCAGAGACGCTGGGATATGGCCGCTGAGGTGGTTGCCGCGGAGTCTCAAGCTTACCAGTCTTGGACAGTTGGAAATCTCGCTGGGAATCGGGCCAGTGAGATGGTTGTCACTTACGTCAAGCTCGCTCAAGCTGGACATATCTTGGAGCTCCTTTGGAATCCTGCCGGACAGAAAGTTATGGGACATGTCGAGCCGCACAAGCTTGGTAGCTCTTCCGACGGTCTCGGGTATGGGGCCGGAAAGCTGGTTGTGATGGACGAAGAGAACTTGGAGGGGAGAGTTTACCGAGAAGCTGAGAGGTCCCGTGAGAACGTTGGAAGATATGTCGAGGTACGTGAGACGAGGCATGGAGGTCAGTGTATCCGGAAGTGATCCAGAGAGAAGATTGTCTTCCAGCCTTATTCTTTCCAGCGACAGGCAATTGGTGGCAATACTATCAGGGATGGGCCCCGAGAGAAGATTGGAAAAGAGGATGAGCCTGCGTAGCTGGGAAGTTCTGGACGACATGCACAGGAATGGAGGTATTTGTCCGGTGAAGGAGTTGCTCGAGAGATCCAAGGTGGTGAGGTTGGGAGCGTAAGTACCTAGCTCGGCAGGAATATCGCCAGAGAGATCGTTCTTCCAGAGCGCTAAGTTCCTGAGACGTGGTAGCCGAGCAAGGGAGGATGGAATGGATCCTGTCAGCCGGTTGCCGAAGAGATTGAGCAGCTCCAGGCCGAGCAAGTCTCCGAGCTCCGCAGGGATTTCTCCCGAGAGAGAGTTGATGCTGAGGTCGAGCGAAACGAGGCCCGAGAGCTGTCCGAGCTGCGGTGGTATCGGCCCTGACAAGGAGTTACTGTAGAGGAAAAGCGTGTCCAGCGAGACGAGGAGGGACAGTGACTCTGGAATAGCTCCGGTGAGATTGTTGTGGACAAGATCCAGGTGCTTGAGACTGGCAAGGCTTCCAAGAGCAGATGGTATGCTTCCGGTGAGGCTGTTGTAGCCGAGGTAGAGCCACTCCAAGTTGGCGAGCTGGCCGAGCTCTGGAGGGATGGATCCTGTGAACTGGTTGGCCGCAAGCGTGAGGTACTTAAGGTTGCTCAACTCACCAAACTGTGGAGGAATGTGGCCGCTTAACAGGTTCCCACCGAGATCGACGTAAGATAAGTTGGACATGGAGGAGACGTCCGGAGGAAGCTCACCAGAGAAATAGTTGCCGGACAAATCCAAGGCTTGGAGCTTTGGCATGGTTGCTGGGCGGACGACGCTGGAAATGGGCCCCGTGAAAGAATTACCACTAAGATTGAGACTCTTTAACAGTGACAATGGCAAGGAAAGAGACGAGGAAGCAAGAGAAGAAGACAAGAGGACGAAGGGTCCCGACAGTGCATTGTCACCTATGCTCAAGGCTTCCAGCTGGGGAAAGTGTGAGAAGATATCGGGGATTGGAAGCTTGCCAGACAGGTTCCTACTAGAGAGCTCGATCTCCCGGACGAGACCGTCGGGCCAGCATTTTATTCCGGGCCATGCACAGGGAGTGGAAGCGTTACTCCAACTCTTGGCAAAGTAATCGTCGCTAGAAACCAACCAAGCTCGTAGCTCCAAGAGAGCTCCCGACTCTTCTGACTCTCCAAGAGCAGCGCCAAAGATCGAAGCGATGAGAAAAGCTACGATCAGAGACATTGCGAGGAGTACTGTGTGTGTGTTGCGCTGCGCGGCTCTCTTACATTTGCTGCAGCAAAGGAGCATTGTAGTCGTTGTTTTATAGGGGCCAGCTTGATACAATTTTTAGAAGCTTATGGAAGGAGTGGGAATCCTTGCTTCCAAATAGGAGACGACAACGTGGTGGTGCTTGCCACGATTTCTGGGTCTCAACTGTGGATTGAAATGTCGTATTAGAACGACTCTTTATTGACTTTGACTGTGGTCCACTTGAATATCAGGAATTTTATTATTAAACCGTTTTTGCAATATTATTTATTAAGTAGAGAATGGTAGTAACATAAATGTAATATAGGTAAATAATAATTATTTTTCAGATCAATCTAATTTTTTTCTTATCATGGGTAATTTTTTTCAGAATTAACTATATTTATAATCTTCTTGTGGAAAATTATCTTAATATTCTTAGGGGCAATTATTTATATATATTCAAGTTTTATTCCTTTTATATTTTTATGCATATTAATTTTATTAAAACATTATATCAATATGTTCAAGAAAAAGAATATCTTTGACAATGTTATCTTAAATTTGTTTTGATCTAATTCAAATTTTTACTATTTTAATTTATCTATTCTAATTAAAAATAAATTTAATTTATTTAGTTTTATATAGTTTTTAAGTGAATTGTTTTATCAGAATGGTTACCAAAGATATAAATTTCACATTGTTACAATATATAAAAACATCTAAAATTTAAAAAAATAATTTATATAAGAAAAATTAAATAGGACACCTAGTAAATGCGAGGCAAATTGGGGAAATTGAATAGATTTAGATAAATGTCTAGATAAGCAAAGAGATGGCAAAAATTCAAAATAATAATCCAAGATTTTAGGAGATGATAAGCATTATAAACATGAAAATAATCTTAAAATGAAAGGGCAACGATAAGCTTCACCCTTTTAATAATCATGACTTAAAAACAAATTTTTTATCTTCTTTAAAAAGTAGAAAGTGTTCTTTATAACTTGCAATAATGTTCCCAAGCTTGTAATAAAAACTTAAGTGTGTTCAAAGAAGTTTTGAAATGTCTGTAGAGGATTCCAAACTTATCCTTTCTCTTAGTGTTTGTATGAAGGGAACCTTAGAGTTCTAATTAGCTATGGAAACACAATGATCTTGAAAATCTTAAAAGAGTTCTTCAGTGAGTTGGAGTGATCAGGAGCAAGTTCTAGTGCAAGAAAGTCTTTGTTACATTCTTGGGCAAGCTAACTTGAAAAATCTTGGTGTGCATTGCAAACAGCCATAGACCAACCGTGTTTCCAATCATGTTTGAGAACAAAGTAGTATGTAAGAAAGATTTTTGTTACAGTCTAGAAGTTAGGAGTAGCAAAGATTCATCATCTCTCAAGTTGGTGAGCAGCATTCCTACTACAAGAAGGCCCCAGGAGCTGCACTTGGCAAATTAGACAAACTCAGGAGCAGCTAGGGGAAGAAGAGGAAAAAGAGCTAGCAGCAACAGCTCAAGCCAGACACATTTATCAATGTGCCACGTGGATTAGAACCGACTTGGATTGTTGGCACCCAGTAAGTCAGCCGATTTGGCACGTTCCCCTACTGGCACGTGTCGAAACACTTGGCAGCCTAGAAACAGCCCATACGTATCCTCTTTATAAAGGCCGAGCCCAGACGAGTCCCTTCACACGGTTTTCTCTGTTTTAGAGATGGAAGAAGGCGGTAGTCTCGCCAAGCGCGAGGAAGACAACCAGCAATTCCCAGTGACGATAGGAGCGATCGCAGGCAAGGCCCCCGATGTGGAGGATTCGTTTCTAGTGCAGGATATGACCGCTGACGCGGGCAAGGAGCAAGCAGCGGCGCATGGAAAGCAGCCGACGAGTGCGATGCCGGAGAGCACTCACAACGCCCAGGAGTCTGTCAAGGATGCCAAAGACTCCGCCTCCCAGAAAGTCGAGGATGCCAAGAGCTCCGCCTCCGAGAGCGTCGAGGGCGCCAAGGACACTGTCAAGGGTGCCGCCGACCATGTCAAGGAGGGTTCCAAAGCGACATTTGAGTCTGGGAAGGATAAGTGAGGAGAGTCTTCTTTTTTGTTCTTCCACTTGCATTTGAAAAGAAAAAAAACGTACCCAGTGGTTTAACTCTCTCTGCTTCGTTCTCCTCCGGTTAGCTGATTTGATTGTTTGATGCGATGATCTCACTCAGACGTGCGCTGTGACGTCTCTCCGATGTCAAGTGCCTTGCAACTGAACGCGCAAGCGTTCATATTTCGCAAGCTCTTGCAACGAAAGCGAAGGTTTCAGTTCTGCGAGGGCCTACAACGGAAATTAATTAGCAGCAAAATAAAGATGGCACGTCTTACTTGGAAAAAGTCCTCTTGCTTCACGACCACAGTAGAATCGTCTTCTTCTATAAAACTTAAAGCCTGCAAACCACTCGAACAATATATCGCGTGGTGATAGAAAATGCATGTGTACCTTGCGTTTCACAGCTTGCATCCAGGCATCAGCGCATAATGCATACATATCAGCACCAGTGAAATTATCTGGGCACTTTCTAGCTAGGAGTCCCAGCGAGACATCTTTGTCCAAGTCAAACTTTCGTGACAATGCCGAAAGAACTCTGCAAATCAAGCAGTCAGGAAGAATTGTCATCACCAGAAAAGAAGGTAGTATACTTTTCTCTGTACGTTGGATCTGGACTGATACCAACATAAAGCAGCTTATCAAAGCGACCGGGTCGAAGAAGAGCAGAGTCAATCAGGTCTGGACGATTAGTCGCTCCAATCACAAAGAGATCCTGCAAGTTGCATTCTAAGAATCTCATGAAATATAAGTCCGAGAATATTGCACCTGTGTATTCTCTCCGAGTCCGTCGATTTCTGCTAGTAGCTGCACCGAACCTGAGTTAAGTCCAAACAAAAGTACACTTTTCGCTACCTGTGAAACAACGCGATCCATGACACCGCCCGAATCGCCAGATGCTCCACGAGCTGGAGCAAGCGCATCCAATTCGTCAAAAAATATGACACAAGGCCGAGCTCCTCGCGCCTAGGTAAAGGAACTTGAGTTGTTAGGTGACCATGAGCTCTGTAAAAATGACCTTTTGAAACAGCTCCCTGACGTTCTTTTCTGACTCTCCAATAAACATGTTGATAACTTCCGGTCCTTTAACGCTTAAGAAATTGAGTGAGCATTCAGTAGCTACCGCCTTTGCCAATAAAGTCTGCCAAGATTCACGGTGAGATACAGAACTTAGCTAGATCAACTTACTTTTCCAGTGCCAGGAGGCCCATATAACATAACACCTGAGCGTTGTCTCAATCCAGACGTAAACAGCTCGCGATGAACAAGTGGTACTTGAACAGTGTCTAGGATAGCACGTTTTACGTTTTCAAGGCCGCCGATGTCCTCCCATTTCACATTTGGCACCTAAATCAAGCAGAATGAAACCACGAGTCAAAAACGCTGCTCAGCATACCTTTGGAGTGCCAATGGCCGAGGCAGTTCGTTTTTTGACCTGTTCGAGAGCTTTCTCAAAACACTCAGGACTGAAATGCTTGCAATGGTCTCGAGAGCTTGACAAGATCTTGCTGTTTTCGTCATCACACGGGCCAACTGTAAAGGCAGCAATGTCGGCAGCAACAGCTTTAAGGTCTCTCGGAACAAGCCCCGCCGTCTGCGAGGAGATAGACTTTGCTCCAAGCAGTAGCTCGTCCTACACACACACACACACGGTTTGTAAAAAGACAGAAACATTTATCAGATAACGGACCGTTAGCTCTGTACAACCAAGGAAGTGCTGAAGAAGCTCCAACCGTTGAGCCTCATCAGGAGTATTTATCGATATCTCATGCGTGAAGCAGTGCCGGAGGGATTTCACTGACGCTTCGTCTTCCGCGGTAGCGATCAGTAATACTGAACTCGTTACATTCTGGAGTATCTTAAGACTTAGTAAAGACAATATGGTGACATGCCGAACCTTCAAGGCCGTATCAGAGTCCTCGTTGACATTGTATGCGTCCACGTTTTCCGAATTCTCGCTTGTGACGTCTTCCACAGGCTGGCGAGAGTAGCCATACTTTGTAATGCAGCTTTTTAGCAAAGCAGCCACACGAGATGGGCCCTGTGACTGATTAGGACTTCCGCCACTCTTCTCCCCCAAAGCACCAAAGCGCCTCAACAGTAAAATGACTGGAGAATACCTTGCAGCGCAATATAATAATTTAGTTTGGTGCTCAAACTTGCAAAACGGATTTACCTGCTTGCAACTTTGAAAACATGCTCCAACGCTAGAGCAGTCTTTCCCTCCGACGCACCAACAAGCTCGTAGCAATTATACTCCACAACGTGAATTCCCAACGCGTCGGCAACAAGCCTTGCTACAGTTCGTTTGCCCACACCTGAATTATCCAAAAGGTGAAAAGGAGCAATTGGAATACGAAACATGTACCTGCCGGGCCAAGTATGAGCGTCGATATCCTGAGTGGAGACAAGTTCGGGTGGAAACAAGGCGCGGCGAGTGAAACGAGCTCACGTACAGCAGGCGCGTGAAGCGACGAGCACCACGATGATTTTTGTTTGAGAACGAGAGGTGGTAGGGAAGAAGGAATGGAGCCACTCAAAACCAAGGCCGTATGGTTCTGGTCTATGCGCAAAAAAGGTTCCGTGGATGGCTCCAATGAAAGCACCTACTAAAGCGCAAGTTCAGTACTCGAAAGAAGAAAATAACACGAAAAATATCATCACCTTGAAGAGAACCGTATCTTCACTTTCCATGCCGTAGTGAAAACGCTGATAAAAATCCGTGATCGTCGACGATGGCAACTTCACCGAGAACAAGTCCCCCGTTGCCATGCATTTGCCGCCACTGAAATAGAGCTTTAGCGCAGCATCGACTTCTTCCTGCCGGTTTCGTGGAGTATTATCCAAGCTCGAGGAAAGCACGGGGATTTTGACGTACGAAACTCTCATATGTGAGGCAACTTTGATCTGTGTGTCGTCCAGAGCTTCGACACGCAAGAGCACGGAGGCGGTCTTATCAAAAGCGTAGGGAGAACTCTCAGAGTTTCGGGCTGTGACGATCGTTTCCAGCCAGGCTAGATGGATTCCAAGATTGAAAGCCAGCAATGGCGAGACGTAACCGACGAGAGAATCGAAAACACACGGCGAGGGGGGAGAAACTCTACACGATGGGAAGAAATTTCGGGGCGCCGGCGAGGGAGGAGACGAAGGCTCTGAGCTTACAGGATTGGAGAGAGGAGGATCTAGAACCAATACTTTGGCAGCCCTGCTCACATTCCTCTCGGCATTCCTCACCAAGACCTGGAAATAATCGGCCGATCGATCTAGCAATCAAAATGCCGGCAAGAAACACATACCCAGGATCCGGAGCTGATCGAGAGCTCCCGCAGCACCGACGATGCCACTCCAAGAACAAAATCCCCCTCCGAGTCATCGACGAAGAGAATTCCCGCAGAAAGATCGACGCCAGCGCAAGCGCAGTGATCGAAATCGCCATTCACAAGCGCGCTTACAGCCGCCGACGTCTTGCGCAGCACGAGCGCTCTCCTCCGCCCCGGCATGGCGATAAACCCTAAAATATTTCCCCCAGTGGCCAGTGATCGAAGCAATTGGACCATGGGCCATGGCCCAAAATTTTCATATTTAGTAAAACAATGCTATGTACAGTGTGAGGAGGGAAATCGAGAACAAGCAAAGAAATCACAGGAGAGCGATCAATCAGCAAGCGGGGACCATGGACCAATTCTCGTCCTCGCGGATTTCGTCCACGAATTCATACTCCTCGTCTTCGTCCACCTCTCGATCATCCGAGGCCGAGGAGAACGATTCCCAGCTCCATCCGCCGTCGCCATCGCTTGACACGTCCTCGACTCCAGTGAGATCCCCGCAGAGATTGTCAATCTCGGGGGCAAATTCGCCCCCAATCTCCTCCTCAATCGCGGTCCCCTGCCGGGCTAGGGTATCATCGCCATCCTCCGATACAATCTCCGGCAGGGAAGCGTCGTCCTCCTCGAAATCCCCCTCAAAATCCTCGGAATCCTCCTCAAATTCCTGGTATTCCTGGAATTCCTCCACCGCCTCAACGATGGGCGCCTTGGATTTCTTGCCCAGCGCCGCGGCCGCCTTGTGGCTCTCCAGGAGCGAGAGGGAGAGCGCGATCCCTAGATCCTCCTTGTAGCGATCCACATCCAGGGAAACCTTCTTCACGGATTCCCTAGCAAAGGGCGTCCAGTTGTAGAGCCTGTAATCGGCCCCAAGGTCGTGGCCTTGGGCCTTGCGATTGCCCTTGGACTTGGCCCTGGATTTGCACAGCGGCTGCGTGTGGCGCTCGCCATTCCTGGACGAATTCCGGGGCTTGCTGGGCTTGGCGTTGATGATCGAGCCCTCCTGGTCGTGCCTAGGGCGCTCCCATCCATGCTTCTTGTGGCCGCCCCTTCCCATACTACCTAAGAACCAAGAATAAACTACTTCCGATTTTAGGTTGAGCTCGATTAAATACCAAGAATATCCTTTTGGGAGATATGCTCCCCTTTTCTTGGGGTGGAAGTAAAGTTAGTTCGGTCCATTAGTTTATTTTAAGCCTTTGATTTGTTTTGTTAATTGATGATTATCTCTATATTATGCAAGAGTTGGTGTTGTGCTAGACATAGACGAAACCACTCGTCATAGTGTCATGGCAAGACTATAAAAAATACTGAGAAATTACTTCTATTATATAATATATAAAAGTTATATATAATAATCATTGCATGGTGGTTTGTAAAATAATATATAAACATAGGTCTGCGCTGATTGGCATTCTTCCCAGGTTTTTCGGCATTTCACGATGTATTTGAGGGGTCGGGAGGAGCTGTTGATCACGATTCAGAGCGAGGAATCGATCAAGTATGAGAGATTTCTTTGCTTGCATTTTATTCTAGACAGAGAAAGGGTGCAGTAGTGAAAGAAATTTTTGCTTGGAGAATTGCTCCTCTAAATCAGCTTTGCCTCCAGCAAGTCCGTCAAACTCCGAGACAAAGAAAGTTTGGTTCTTGCATTTTTCTTTTTTTCCTTTTCTTTTCTTTCCACTTTTTTTTCACTTTTTTCTGTGTTTTTTTTCTTTTCTTAAGTAACAATTCATATTATGTAAAAAATCACTACTTTTAATGTCATAGGAATTATTTAAAATTTTAAAATTCATCTATAATAATTTTCAATTTACGTCAATTATGACATTTTTTTACCAAGCTGAAAATTTAACATGCAATAATTTAAGAAAACTTTAATTAATTCACAGCTACTAACCAACACACAATTTATAGTAGAAAATATTAATAGCAAATATAAATATTTTTAGTAAATTTTTTGTTGTCTTTCCATTTCTCAAGGGAAACTTAAATCTGAGCATCTCTAAAATCACTTACACTCTGACACAAAGCTTGGTTTTTTTTGGAAACATCCATTAATAATATCTTAAATACTACTATTTTTAATTTTATTTAAAATATTAATAATACAATACAAGTTATATATAGAATTTTCATGACTAAAAAATATTACAAAAAGGACAAAAGAAACTTTTAATAATTCATTAAGGTTTAACATTCATATTTTTTAGCCTAAAAATAAATTTAAACAAAATAATGCAAGCTAATGCCTATGCTAAAACCATATCTTCCCTAGAAGTATATTCCTTTAAAATTCTTCTATTTGCCTTTATTGCCATCCAAAACCTCCTTTGACTATCTATCACCAGGAAAATCCGAGACTTGGAGATGGGTAGGAGAAAGTTCCTCATAACAGAGTGGCGCAGTGCTCATAACCCACAGGTCCAGGATGCTCTGATATTATTTCGAACCAGAAAAATTGCATATTTACCTACACTGCTCTGATATTTTATGATATATTGATCATAAAACCAATAAATTCTTGCCTCTGCTATCTACGCTCTTGTTTGTTTTAACACTTTGAATTTGAGCTTTGTGCTTGATTAAATAATAATGCTTATAATAATACCTTTGACTTTTGAACAAAAAAAAACACATAAAAACTAACAAGTTTATTCAGCGTCCCAGGGCTCTGATCAGATTTAATTTATATCTAAAAGGCAAACTTATTTATTTCTTTATTTTTTCATATTAAAGTCCTTGTGAAACCGCTCTGATATATTGATAGATTTCTGTTAAAGCTAGAGTTCTAATAATGTGATTGCATGGAGTAAAGACCGGTGGATCTTGTCAATAGCATGTAAGGTCTCCCAAGCTCAACCATTTTTCAACAGGCATTGATTGAGCCTAGTTCATCAAGCTCCTTCGTTTTACCTATGAAGGCTGCTTTAGTGTTGTTTCTAGTGTTTGCTCCTCAAATAGAAGGAGCTCTTGTCTGTGTTGGTGTCCATGATTAATCAGTATCCCTATTCATCAGTCAGCATTCACTCTTGGAAATGTCACAGAGGAGCAAGAGATGCCCATCTCGCCAACATATATCTACACTAATCTTGTTGTGGATCACAACATAAGCTCACATTCAATTCGATCCAGGATCCTATAATTGAAAGCAGAGCTTCAACTAAACTCTTGCTCAAACCAAACATTTTCTTTTATGCTTAAAACCTTTTTCCTCTACCCTTTTGTCCTTTTATAAATAAGCTACCAATCTCGACAAAACCTAATCTTTAGTCATGGCTTTGTCCAAGATGAAAGGATTTGCGGATAGATTGTTTACAGGGGCTACCAGGCTACTCAACATGGAGATCGATCGTCCCAAGCTCCCAATTCCGCTAGAGCAGAGGCTTCTAAACACAGGTTTATGTGTTTCTCTCCTCATCGTCAGCAGTAGACTACCAGTGTTTGGCATCACCAAATCTCTCAGCGAGAATCCTTATCAGTTACTCACAAATTCAAGCCACGGGACGCTCATGGAATTGGGAATCGCACCGCTCATCACCACAAACATGGCAGTGCAAGTGATGGCCGGTGGCAAGATCCTAAGCTTCAAGGACACGAAATCCATGAAAATGGTACAAAAGGTTGGGGGACTGTTCTTGACGCTGGTTTTGGCAACCATGAACGTTGCTGGCGGGATGTATGGATCGATCGGAGTGATAAGTTCAATCATGGTGGTGCTGCAACTTGTTTCCACAGTTTTGATGATCATGTTTCTCGACGAGGTTTTGGAGAAAGGATATGGAGTCGGGACCTCAGCGGGTTCTTTGTTTGCGGCATGCAATGTTGCAGAGAGCTTGATATGGCATTCGTTCAGTCCCGTCACCGCCAACTTTCGAGGGCGAGTTGAATTCGAAGGCGCCATAGTGGAAGCTTTTCGAGGATTGTTCCATGGCGGTTTCAACATGAGAACCATCCGGAGTATCTTCTTCCGAAGTCACCTCCCAAATCTTTGGACGCTGCTGCTGACTATCGCAGCGATTGGCGTGATTTTATTTCTTCAGTCTCTCAGCGTGGTGATCAAAGTGATCAATCCGAAAGGGCGGCGAATGGAGTATCCGATCGAGCTGTTTTACACTGCAACAACGCCAGTGATGCTTTTATCCCAGTTCGCGAGTAGTCTGGGGAAGACCTACGAATGCATGGGTCAGATCTTGGGCTACAACAATTTCGTGATGGGAGCTCTCGGTGGGATGATTTACAACTTTTTTCATCCTCCAGCGAGCGTGATCCAAGAGCCACTCCATTTTCTCGTCTACTCTGCGTTCACGGTGGTGTCTTGCACTTTACTTTCCAAAGCGTGGATTGAGTTGTCTGGATCGTCTTCCAAGGATGTAGCGAAACAGTGGAGAGAGGAAGGGTTGACGATCGTGGGACACAGGAGCTCCCACCTCCACAAAGAGCTTGATCGATACATTCCAGCAGCGGCAGCACTTGGAGGATTTGGCATTGGTGTTGTTTCCGTGGTGGCGAGTATGATGGGAGTGATTGGATCTGGGACTGGGCTCTTTATAGCAGCTGGCACCATTTCTCACATTCTAAGGACGATTCAGAAGGAGAAGCAGATTTAAGCAAAAGGAGAAACAGTCAAAAGTTTTTGAGAATGCATTCTCCTGTTTGTCATATCAATCTCACTTTGATTTCTGTAAAGCTTTGATCTGAAGAAAGAAATCAACAAGGTTTTCTCAAAACAGTAGACCTCTAGAAAATTTTTGTAGTGTTCTTCATGCATTTTCTGGTAATGCTAGCACACTGAATATTATCATCTGAAAAAGGCTTCCAACCTTCGTTAAAGGCTCAGTGCTTTGGCAAAATTAGTTGAGATGAAATACTTAACTCACACGCTCACGTTTGTGACGGGCGGGCTGTTCTTGTCAACACGCTTGAAAATACCCGAGATCACCTGCATCGCAAACTACTTTAGCTTTTCTTAACAACGCAGCCAACTATCCGACCTTTCCCGGGCCAAGTTCGTAGGCATTTTCAAGTCCTCTGCTGAGCAGCGTTTTCACGGTGGTCTCCCATTGGACTGGCGAGGTTACCTGTATCATGGATCAACCAGTCAAGAGTCACGAGTCACGAGAGGTAAAATCTTCCTTACTTGCTTAGCGAGTATCTCCTTGATGATTTTGGGATCCGAGTGAGGCTGCGCGTCAACGTTTGAAATCACCGGGATCCTGGGAACTTTGAATTCGATGTCGGCTAGAGCAGCCTCTAGCGTTGGCACGGCAGAAGCCATGTATTGCGTATGGAAAGCTCCTGCTACTGCCAGTCTTACCTGCGATTACGATCAAGTATGTATTGGATTCAACCTTTTGGCGCAAGCTTACCAGCATTCGAGCCTTGAAACTTTTCGCTTTTGCCTCCACAGCGTCGATACCTTTGAGACCGCCAGAAACGGCGTAGTTTCCCTGGACGAGAAATGAAAAAACCGGCAGAAAATGAGAGGCCGGACGCAGGCACTTCACTTACAGGACACAGAAAGTTGGCAATTTGAACTCGATCTTCTTCACTAACTTCTTCGTTGGCCGCATCACACAAAGCTTGAACTTTCACTGGATCGAGCCCGATGACACTGGCCATCCCCCCTTTTGTCGCGTCTGATGCAGCCTGAGATGAATAGATTAGTCTAGAAGCCAAAGCCTCAGTAAAAGGAGAACCTGCATGGCTTCGCCTCGCTTTTTTACAACCTTCAGGCCATCTTCAAAGCTGGAAAAGGAAAGAAAAATGAGACACTAATGCGGCTAAACTCAACGAAAGCTACCTGAGCACACCAGCAAAAACGAGTGCGGTATACTCGCCAAGGCTCAACCCGCATGCTACGTCAATCGAATCGATGATGGCCTGGCCTCCTTCGCGTGCTCGCAAGGCTTCCACTGCAGCCAAGCTAGCAACATAGATAGCGGGCTACGATCAAATAGTTAGCTTTACTCATACAAAGACAATAGAATTCACAAACCTGGCTGATGACAGTAGAATCGAGCTTCTCCTTTGGCCCATTCATGCAAACATCGAGAAGATCGTACCTATCAGGAAGAAACGCTATACTTAAAGAGAAAAAGAGAGAGAGAGAAGAGCTCCAGAAACTCACCCAAGAATGTTGCTGGCTTTTGCAAAGAGCGCTGCTGCTTCTCCTACTTCATGCGCACTCTTTCCCATTCCCAGCTCTTGCGCTCCCTTTGATCGATCAACAACACACAAAACTCGTGACAACGAGAAAAAGAAGAACCAAAAAATTCGCAGCCTTTCACCTGTCCAGGGAAGAGAAATGCTGTCCGCGGCTTGTAATCCCGGAAGAGATTATCCGCTGCAATCGTCTCGGCCTGGACGCCGACACACCGGATCGGCGCTAATCGCCTCGCATTGCACCTTTCGACGCGAGATCCAGCGCAAGGAAGCACAGAGGACGACGATGCGAAGATCCCTCGCGTAGTGGCGCCTGGAAGCAAGCTGGACATCGCCATTGCTTGCTCTCACATCACAGACCTAGAATCTCCACAATTAAGAGGCTCGCTCTAGCTGCGCTCGTCCGTCCCCTCCGCGAGATCCCCAACGCCAATGGTTTTAGGGCATATAACAGAATATGCTGTTCTTGAGGTAGTTTGTTTCTAGGGTTTGAGCAAAAGGAGGAAAATGGAAGCGCTCAGCCTGTGCGGAGGATTCAAGCTCCGCCTGGCGGCCGCCGAGGATGCCGATGCCGCCACGGCCGCATTCCTGCCTCAGCGCGTGGCGCTTCAATCCACATTTGGAGCTTTCGATTTCCATTTCATCATGTAAGAATTTTGTTTCTTTCTTCTGTTGCTAGCGATCCCTTAGATTCTCTCCTTCCTGTTGCTAAGATCTCGCAGCGCATTGCCTTAGATTCTCTCCTTATTGCCTGCTGCTAGAAATTCCATGCTCTTTAGTTTTGATTCTATCTCTTGTGACCGTGCAGTGAGATGTCCATCTACTCGTTTGTGGTGCTGAATGCCGACGACAAATTGGTGGCGTTTTGTTCTTTCAACGACGCGCCATCAGTTCCCGGGACTGTTGCAATGAGAAAAATTCCTGACGCTAGAGCTTGGGCGAGGCAAGAAGCATCGGATCTTGGATTCCTGGCAAGTTTCTTACTCTCGCGAGTATGATGTTTTAACGTGGTTTTTTCCTATCACAGACGGATAGCTTGTTATGGATGGGGGTGTGTGCGATGTGCTCGCTTACTGAGGATGAAATGCAGCGTGCTTCATCAGCTTTTATGCGCGCTGTCTTTACCCTTTGTCCCGATATCCAAGCTGTTCTTCTTCCAAGTAAGTTTTCGTTATACACACGAGAGAATTGAGTGTAAACTTTGTATCGGTTTGTAGGCCCTGCGCAATATCCAGTTTTTCCCCAGTTATTCAAGACGATGTCACGGACTTCTGATTATGGGCTTCTCATGTGTGCATGCTTGCGAAGGTTCGGGTCCTATCTTGTGATTACTAAGCTTTTAATGTCATCTTTCCTTCTCTCAGCATTAATAACCCATGAAGCCGGCTTACTGGATGATTTGTTTGTAAATGTCCAGCACAGTTCTTCCGACCATGAAAATCAGAAGGGCTGTGGTTGAGGACAATGATGAGCTGCTTCCGGTCATTGAGCGGGCTCAGAAGAGGGGCTCGCCGTTGGCTCAAGTGCCTGAAATCGCAATTCCGTCTCAGCCTTACGCAGTTGCTAGACTCATTGCTGCTCAAGATAAAGACAATACCGTTTTTGTGGCCGAGGTAAATTTTCTACTATCTGTATGCCTCATGCAGTAGCCAGTGTTGTCACTTGCAGGTGGACGATAAGATCGTTGGACTGATGGCCATCACTGCTCTAATCAGCAATGACTATTGCTTCAATTTCAATACTGATGACTATGACGCGCTGACAAAGAAGGTAACGTGAAATCCATCCGTTCTAAGTTTTAACTGTTTTCCATGTTAAAGGTGACGAGAAAATTCGAATTTACTGTCCAAGAGCCTGTGGCTGCTCAAAATTCTTCGGCTGAAGCTACACCAGGGAGTACACCGTTAAGCACACCAGCAAGCACACCAACTCCGGAAGTGACACAAAACCAAGCGGAGGCTCCTGCTGCTCCTTCTCCGGCCTCTTCGAATTCTCCTGCTCCGTCTCCTTCTCCTGCTCCTTCTCCAGCTCCTGCTCCCCCATCTCCTTCTCCAGTTCCTTCTCCAGTTCCGCAACAGGTCACTCAGCAGGTTACTGATATTGCTGAAATGAAGGCTGAGGAAGCACCAAAATTTCGAGTCGTGGAAGTCGACGTTCCTGTGGAGATTACGAACGCGTTCCAAATCAGCATGCTTTGCATCGAGGAAGAGTTTGAAAATCAGGGCATTGACTTCGTTATGTCGGCTTTCGAGGTCAGTGTAAAGTTTTTATGTCATTTCTTTTTGCGGTGTCTGACTGTATGATACGTTGTGATTGAAGCTAGAGACTAGAGATTACTGTTTGGTGGGCTTTCCATACACCAGTCGGATACATCCGTTGCTCCGACTGTTTGCGAGAGTACCCTGCAGATCTTCAAGGAAAATTGAAAACGTCAAGCTGCCGGAAACTCGTATGATGACGGATCATCCCCCAGACCTGTCAATCGCTCATTTATGCCTATATCTTCTTCACCGTGATTCTTTGGCTCCTGTAAGTAACTTTTGGTGACAAGAAGCCAGTTCTGAGTACGTGAGTTTTACAGAACTTCTTACTGAAATGATCAGGGATTTGAAGTCCGACATACTATGTCCCGCGATGCTGATGCTCTTGCGGAGTTCTTGGCAGATTTTAAGGACTGCAAGAGCATTGTCGACTTGGTCGAGCATCCACGAAAAGGATGTAAGTACTAGAGTTTTTTTGTACTGATGTCGTGTAACCTTTCGTACTCCAACCAGGCCATACCATAGTCGCTGTGCTGTCTGCTCAAATTGTTGGCTTGGCAATGATTGAGGAGACCGTTCCTGTGGAAGCTCTGACAACGCAGTTTTGCGTCAAGTCCTTCATCAATCTGGAACATCACCCTCCAGCAAACCAAGCGTGCGTTACTCTTTTGGCACTGAGTCCAATTTTTCGTCATCGCAGAAGACTATTCCTGAGAGAGATCATGCGCCAGACAGAGAAAACGCTGCTCTACTGCCCCATTTTTCCAGACCAGGATCTTCCCGACGTTATTGAAGACATGCTGCTAATTCCCGCAAGACAACACGTTTATATGAGCCCCTCTCAGAAGTGGGGCAGACATCCCGAGACTATTGGACCGTCCAAAAGAGCCTTACGGCGAGGGTCAGTTGCAAACTTCTCACCAAGGGGACTATTTTCCGGATTCGACTGTGCGCTTTACTTCACCACTCACAGGCTTACAAGCAGGCACAGGATTCCTGTCAACTCGAAAATTTTAGTTGCCGGTGCGTCGCGCACCGCGGAGGCTTTTCTTCACAAGCTCATTGCGAATCCTCTGATGCAGTTTACAAACGTCACGTTGGTATCTCCGTGCGGTTTTATGGGATTCTCGTCGTCAGCAGCTTCCATTCTCGACGTAGAATCAGGCCCGGCACGGTGCTTCAGTAAGCTCGGGATTGATTGCCAGGTCGGACTAAAGTCGTCTCTCGTGACTGACTTCGACAGAGAAGCGCAGACGATAACACTCAAGAACGGGGAAGTTCTATCGTATGATCTCTTCATTATGACAACCGGGATGCAAGACCAGACGGGGTGCAAGCTTGGGATCAGTGCAGTGAAGGAAGTTATCCGGGCGGATGAGTTCCTTGCGAGGCTGGACGTCATTACAGGGTCACTTGAGAAGCTTAAAGTCCCCCGCGAAGTCCTTGTCGACGGTGAAGGTCACGCAGTGGTTTACGGCTCCACTTTAGAAGCTTTCTACGTTATCCAGCTCTTGCTTTCCAGAGGACTGAGGGGATCGAACATCGTACTGTGCCACGCTGAGAAGAAGTTGACGAACAAGTACGTCCACGGGGATGCAAACATTTTGAGTTGTTTGCTGGAGGAGCTGGCTTGGTGTCAAGTAGCTGTCAAGTCGGGTTTGAAGCTTGTTGGAGTCACTACGAACGAGTCCGGAAGTTTGAAGGCAGCGAAGTTTGAAGCTCAGGGTGAAGAAGAGGACGAGAAAATCCACCACGAGCTCCCGTGTTGTCTCTTGGTGACCTGCGAGCGGAAGCAAGTCGACATCCCTCTTTTCAACGTGATGAGAAGGGTGAGTATTTGCTTTGTGGTTGCAACCTCAAGTGAAAGTTTTTTTTTTCTTTTCAGGAGAACATCATATTTGATGGACGTGTGATTGTGGACGGAAAGTTTCAAACGAATGACCCACTCATTTATGCTGCTGGGACTGCTTGCAAGTTTAGCCGAAACTGTGGAAAGCTGCCGAAGCTTGAGACTTTCTGTTCCCAAGAGGTTGGCGAAGCTTTGGCAGCATCACTGATCTCCCGGTTCAACAGTCATCTCCCAGATGTAGGCAAGCTATGGCTGAGCTATCTACCGTGGTTTCCTGAGAAAACGAAGGATTGCGGTGGCGGGAAGAAGTGGCCTGCGCCAGTTACGCCACTCTTGGGCCGACCGAAATGCACTGGTGGAATTCTCCCTGGCGGCGTTCAGCTTTTCAGCATTGTGCTTCCCAGTTGTCACACTACGAACTGGGACGACTTGCGGATCTACTCCATGCTAACCAAGTTCAGCAACTTCTACGCGAGAGTGGACATCGCAGAGAACAAGCAGCTCGCCAGGATCCTCTACGCCGGGAAGGTGAAGGCAGACGCTTGGAAATTCAGCCAAGTCGTCGGGCTTCCAGTGTCTCTTCTCAACAGTCTTCCGAGAAGGTAGCTCATGAGTTCTTTGTGCTTTTGGTCGTATGACTATTATGTTTCGAAACAGATATAGCGACGGAAGCTTGAATGACATCATGAACTTCCTCTTGCAACCGTGGTCATCAGTGCTCTTCCACGACGATTTCCTCCCCTTCTACACAAACCTGACGCAGAACGTTGTTGACACAAGCAAGAGCCACCCGAAAGGAGGGCCTGACGTCTCCTCGTTTGAGAGCTGCGACAAGATCGACCCGGAGCTGGCGGAAGCAATCTCCAGGCTGGTGAGAAAGGAACTCCTCAAGTTCATCGAGAAGCATCGGCTGGAGCTACCGATGTACACTCTCCCGCGGAAGAAGGTGGACCTGCGGCTGCTGCTTCCTAGAGTTATTTCCTCGGACGACGTAGAGGTGGTGGAGAAGAAGAAGCAGACGGCCGCGGCGGTGGCAGCAGCTGCATCGGCAGCACTTGTCACTGCCTCAGACCTCATCAACACCGCATTCGAGCAGCTGATCCAGAAGGCCGAGACCGAGGAGCGGGACAAGAAGACGATCAAAGAGATTGTTGGTCAGCTGGTGCAAGGGATGGAGGAGCTCAAACCGGTGCTGCTCACGCTCAGGGGAGAGGGATACATTGGGCCGACTGTGGATCATCTTATCAAGGAGATCGATAAGAAGGTACTGTCCATTTCCGTGTGGGACGAGAGCTTGGATCTGGAAGGCAGGGAAGACGAAGAACAGATCAAACGAGCCATTCAAGGGATGATTGGGCTGTTAGAGCAGTCATCTCCCGTCATGCTGGCTCTAGATCGAGTAGACTGACATGCATTGTGTTTATATAATCACAAGATATTTTGTCACTATATTTATATTGTATAACTGTTAGATACATATTTTAAAAAACACTATTATATAATTGTAAGAGTTTGTAATATATCACCTTAAACATAACTTATAAGTAACTATAAAACTACCTCCTTTAAAATTAATTTTTTCTTGCACAATTGAGTTAAATGTGTGGTATTTTTGGTTTTTAATTTTCGAGTATACAATAGGGTTCAAGAATGATGCTTAGGCGCACGACCATCACGGAGCGAGGTAGCATGTTCTTCGGCTGCTTGCCTGCTCTCTTCACAAGGAAGAAGAAAAACACCACTGAAATCGAGGATTCAGAGACACTGGTGATCGTCAACAACAAGCTGTGTCCAGGGTTGAAGAGCCTCTTGTCCGATGTCACGCTTCATGACCAGCCGAGCAAGAAGGAAGAAGCAGAGGTGACGCTTCCAGGGAGTGGAAGGGATCCCCGGCACCATGATCAGCCAAGCACCCGCCATGATCAGCCAAGCAAGAAGGAAGGGGCTGCAACGATGATGGCAGGAGAAGTCCAGTATGATCATGATTGCCCAAGCAACAAGGATGAAGTTGTACGAGAAATCGTGGTGCCAATCCAGCAGCAGAATCTTCTAGTGGCAGGAGAAGTGGAGAAGAACATGACCAAGAGATCCTGCTTCCGGCAATCATGTCCAGTCTCGGTTGGTGCAAAGAAGAAAAAGGTGAGATTTGCAGAAAACACTAAGGAGGGATATAACATGTTGTTAGATCCACTGCCGTTAGAGTTGCAAGTCCGGCTAGCGCAGCTGGAAGTGGACTTGGAGATGGATCTCCTCTCCGATCTCTACATGCTTTACGAGGCAGTGTTCGAGAAGAACTGGCGGGGAACAGCCATGTCCAGCAAGAAGCAGGCAGCAGAGGTGTGCAACGAGAAGAAGCGGGCACCACACGAATTGGGAGCTCAAATCTCGGCAGAGCTATTGGAAAGGCGCAGAAACCTGCTCAGCTGGAAGAAGCTTCTTCTCCACTCTCTCGACCCCGAGAATTTCCCGGACAACAACAGCGGAGTGAGTCCTCGCCGCTTCCGCCTCCGCCGCTGCTCAGATGATCCCGAGCTTGAAATTGGTGTGACAAAGTTGGAGCTGTGGCTGGAGTTGCGGGCACTCTACCACATCACCCGCTACCGGGACGAGTTTAAGATTCAAAAGAGCCAAGGAGATCAGACGCTAGACTCCACTCACTCTGTCGTCCGGATCTTGAACGCAAGCTATTTCAATCACAAGAGCAACTACGAGAAAAAGGTGAAGCTAATTGCGGATCTAGAGCACAAGTCATGAGCAAGAGTGTGCTTCCCACCTGATCCAGGTTTGTGAAAGCTTTCTCCTTCATACTTACACTTTTCTTTACAGTTAGCTAGCTGCAAAAACCAACCGAAGAAACACACATCATATAACAGATAACAGATGTAGTGAAGAGACACAAAACAAAGACAGGATTTCTTTTGAAGAGGAGTAGCTTGACAAGACAAGGAAGAGAGGTTGAAGGCAATTTTACAAGAATGCCGGGCGAGCATGAACAAAAACAAAACAATGCTGGAGAAACACATGACAGATATGGTCGAGATCAAACTTAGATCAAGCTTAGAAATGGACAGAAGCATGTCAATGAGGGAACACTGGACAAGCGCGAAGAAGAAACGAACTGAGTAGGAAACAACATGGACAAAGGCTAGATATCGATGTAAATGAGGAGAAAAGACACCGTGAGTTGTAAATTCGGGGAGAAGCTGCGGACATGTATGAGCACGATCAAGCAAAAAAAAAAGCTGAGTGGCAAGAACAAAATGAGATATGGAGGGACAATTACCACCACTGGACAAGCTGCGGACATTTATGAGCATGAAGAAGGAAAGAACTGAGCGGCAAAAGAGCCAGGAAAGGTAAAAAAAATGGACGAAGGCAAGTGTAGATATGGAAACATGTAGAATGGTACATTCAAACTTTCTTTTGTCACCGCGGGATTAGTACAGACGAATATTCACCCGTTCTGCTGTAAGTTAGTACTTCCTGTTTTGATCGCATGGAACAAGCTCTCACCTGTCGCTGAAAGGACTCGCTGGAACTCAAAGTCTATGTACGCGTTAGAAGTCAGAAAAACCCTCGTTGTCTCAATGTCAATCCCCGGGACAGGAGAAACATTCCAAAGCCGACACCTCGCTTCTCGATCCTGGAAGAAGCAGTGCAGAAGAAAAGTGATGAGACAAGAGAGCAAGCAAATCGAAGAGTAGAGAACTTACGAGGGAGCGAGCTTTCCCGGTACCACCGCACCATCGATGTCGATTGTGTAGCCGCGCTTGGATAACCTGGAGATCCTGCTGGTGTAACTCTCGGCCACTGACGGTTTTGCCACCCGCGCAGTTTCCCGGGTGCTTGAACTCCTCAATGCATGGCTGCAAAAAGCAAAAAGAACCTGGTCAAGAAACGATAGCAGGATCATATAAATGGTGATCTTACAGGAATTATCCCGATGCACGGCCCTCCCACTCACTCCCCAGAACCCAGCACGGTAGTCATGAACAGAAAAAAAGAAAGAAAAAACGATAGCAAAAGTGAGCTTACCATTAGTTTCCTGGATGATTCGGCCTGGCTAGTTAGTTCCTCACGAGCTCGTCCAGTATGGTTGCGCCGTTGATTGTCACAACCGAGTAGTGCTGCTGCTGGAAATGGAGCTTGCAGATGTCCTGGATGCAGCGCCTTAATTCCGCCACCCGACTTTGAGGAGCTCGTACTCTTGTTGTCCACCACCTTGAAGAACTGCGATGGCGACTCGTAGCTGAAGAGCTGGTGGAGACACGGCGCCAGCAGCACGGTGGGGCTGGAATGGCTCGAGGGAGTGGAGGCGGAGGAGCCGTGATGGAACTCGGGAGCCTTTGCTGTTGCTGGTGATGTTGTCCGTGATGCGCTTTTGGAGATGGAAATGAGCTGCGTGATACGAAGCTGGAGGAACTGGCGAGGTCGAGGAGTTCATCATCATCACCACCATCTGTGTGATCGATCCCGGACGCGTTCTTCATCGTCGACCCGCCGCTGGAACGATACGGGAACAATGCCAAGCTGCTGCTTCCTCTCGTGCTCGACGTCGGCAAGCGCGAACTTGGAGTTTTCCACTCCAGGAACTCGCCAAAGCTTATCACGATCGAGTGACTCGTTTCATCGTGCCCGAGTTGCTACAAGTGATGAGCACGGCCATCAGAGTTACCTCGTCGGGAACCTCCATTCTGTGGTAAAGCCCCAATCCACTGTAGGAAAAGGCCGCCACAATTCCATGCTCCGGTTCGACGACAGGTCGGTGTAAGTCACGGTGCTTCTCCCTGGCATTCTTTCAAAGAGAGGTGTCAAAATGCCCATTTGAGGCTTCCTTTTGCGAGTACGCGCCTATAAGTGTGTTTGGATCTTCGGTGTTAAAGCTCTCTAACATGTCTTCCAGATACCCATTGCGGGCATATTTTGAGACTAAACTACCCCATGAATAAGAATCTATACAAGGCATTCTAGAAAAGAGATCTACAGCTTGTGATAAGAAATCGTTATTACCAAAACCAACAAGCATTATATTGCAAGAGATTAGATTTATCGAAAGCACCAAAGCAAACATCACTACGTCCTGCTCCATATGCCCATTCTGGGCATATCCGGCTATCCAAAAGGTCCAAGTCAGATCGTTTCTATCGGGGGAGTGATCGAAGGCGGTGTGGTGCTGGCCGATCTGCGAGACAGCATTCCACGAGACAGCGCTCTTCTCGGGGATGAAATGGAACGCTCGCATCGCGTGGTCGAGGGATCCCACCTGGGCGAATCCGGAGACGATAGTAGTGAAGTAGAAGATGCTCGAGCACGGCATTCTCTTGAAAATCTCCCGCTGGGCGAAGGCCTGGAGGATCAAATTCCACAAGACAATGTCCGTGTGTGGTATCCTGCGGAAGAAGAAGGCCGCGCAGGCCTCGCCCGAGGAGATGTCGAGGTTGGAGATCTCCACGGGTGTAACGGAGGAGAAGACATTGGCCTCGGCATCGCCCAAGCTCCCGCATTTGCCATACATGTAAACAATCATGTTGGAGAGGTATCGATTCGGCCAGTAGCTGCTCCTGGCGTGAGTGGCCTAATCTAGATCCATGTCCCCCTGGATGCCGTCCACGTGGACAGTGCGATGATTCGCATCTTTCTTTGCCCCGTGCGTCAAAGGATTCTCGGTTGGTTTCCAATGAGACGGTCTATTTTATTCTTCATGGCTTTCATGGCTCTGTGGTTATAGCATGCACTACCTAGAAATTGCTTAGCAAACACTGGGCTGTTGATTACAAGTTGCCCAAACTCCTTGAGTAAAAATGGAAAAGCATAACTTGATAATCAATCTCTACTACAAAAATCTTAGTAATGCAATATGTCTTGTAATCTGTGTACTCAGCTTCCTTGAGGAAGACTATACACATATTAACTTCTATCTTTCTTGATACCTCTGCTGAATACTCTCAAAGAATATCATTAGACCTAACAAAAAAGAAATGAAAAACAAATGGGCCAAGCTAATAAATGGAATGATAAGCTTGCCCATGCCATGTGTGACTAGAGTGCATCCAACAGATCCATTGCCCAGGCATTCAATGGACCATCATCAAGTAAAACCACCCTCCATGCAGCTATAAGCTCTTGTCAGATTAGTGGATTTGAAAAACACTGCAAGCTGCAAGTGAACTAAGGATTAGACCAACACTTCAATTTGATCTACAAGTAAACAAACGTTGGAGACTCAACACTCACTGAATCTAAGAAGGCTGCAGAGCAGGAGAATGCATCAGCCACTAGCCACTATAAGGATCCTCAAGGGCCTTGAGCCTGCCTACTCCTACCTCCAAGCCATACTCCATGCTCCAAATCTCTATGTTCCAATCAAAAGTTCTTTTGTGCTCTTAAAAGCTTCGTGCTCAACTCCCTCCAAGCTTTGAACTCCAGGACATCCCATGCTCCAAGATCTTTTCCTAGTGTCTGGGCCATGTGTTGTGATTTCATGATCAATACATGCAATAGTTTTTGTTTACATTTAATGCACATATACTATCAAACACACATATATGTATATGTTACTTAAATTTGATCTGTTTAATCTGGAGTTGTTTGACATTTAAATAATTTTATTGCCTAATTAATACTATGTTGATATATTGTTAAAGCAAAGAACATGATGATGGTGGGAGAGTATCATTATCATTATCCACACCTGAACCATAATCCAAATCATTAAAATTGAATGGAAGGCCATCCTCCTCCTCTTCCTCCACATCTTCCAGTAAATCTGGAAGAAAAGGTTTCAATGACACAAATTTAAAGCAAATCTAAGAAAGAACCCACAAAAACATTTAAAACCAATCACTAGCAAACCAAAACGCCTTTTAAACCCTAAGACCTAATCAGAGAATGTCTAGAATATACTTAAGTATATGCTTTATACCCTTTCTCTCTTTAAAGTAGAAAAAAAATGGCATATCTAATTAAACCTCTTTGTTGCTAAACAACAATCTATTTTCTTCTTATTATAAATTGACATTAGGCTGAAAGCTTAAATTTGATGAAACATGAAATTATATGGCATCTATGCACAAAGGTATGTGTAGTGCAATGTTCATATTATGGAGATATCATCCACTTATCGCATAATATCATCCACCTATTGAATAGAGCATCCATTGCAATGGGATTAACATTTAATGCTGAACCAATAAAAAAAATGCCACATAAACACTATATTGTGAGTGAAATATACCACTATATTTTTTACCCTTTTACAAATTGCACACCATAGCAAGCTTGCTAAATCAATTAAATGCTGTCCGCCAGAGAATCTCTGCAACGTTGGCATTCCGTCACAGCTCGTCACCTTCCCTGTCACCCGACATCAAATGTGTGCAAACGAAGCAAAACTCGTCTGGTGGAGCAACATACTGACAGCAATGGAGCCCTGAGTAGAGAAGACAATCCCCGCAAGGTCAAAAACCAAAAATCCAGAAGATCGTCAAAGAAAGCTGGAAAAACTTACCTTGTTTCCACAGTATCCCACAGCCAACGCAGCAAAATTTGAGGCCGTGGACGTGCCTGCAAAGGTTCTTGCGGATCCAGATGATGACATACACTCCCACCATTTGTTTGCTCACGAGTTCTCCGAGTTTCCGGGAGAAGCCATCGTCGTGTTGTCCGAGAGACAAGCCGAGATGGCCGGGGGCTTGGACATGGCAAATCCGCGAGCTTGATGGTAGCGTCGGAGCTAGAGCGCGGGATGCTCGGGGTCCAGGTGTTGAGAAAGTTTTGGTCCGGGGCACTCCGGCTCCTCCGGTGGAATACTCCTCCTCCAGTTTCGGAAGAACAAATCGTTGGCGATGCACCGCCCTGGCGAGATTGTTCTTCCGATGATGATGACAATGATGAGAGCAGCGAGGAGAAAGTTTCGTCGCCGGGATGAACAGCGGCGCCATTGAGAGTCTTGCGGATGAGCGACTCCCACTTTGCGACGGGGATGTTGTCGGCGGCTCCCAGGACGTTGCCGGCATTCAAAGGAACGAAAACCACCGAAAAACTCTTGAGTTCTCGAGAGTTTGGTTTAAACTCTCGAAAAAAAAAAACTCTCTCGAGTTTCGCTTACCCGATCACGTACATATGCACGGGTGGATCACTTTCGAAGATCAAAATCGGGTCTGGAGACTTCCCAGATCTTCCATATCCTGGACAAAGATTTCGCGACTGCTAAGCAAGAGCTCCTCGCAAAATCGAATTTTGAGAGACGTACTGGTAGTCTAGAGTGTCGACAAGCTGTGTCCACAGCGTCCTCGCGCAGGAACCACAGTGTTTGCTTGAAAGACAAAATAAAAAGTACTAAAGATCCATATTTAGATTTTTCTCGAGACCTGTCGTTGGATACATCGGGGGCAAACTTCGCAGGCTTGAGCCCAACCTCATGCTCACTCGAATCTGAGGAAGAACACGAGCAAAAGTTTATGGAAAGTTTAGCATTATATTCGTGACAAGTTGCCATCGCCGCTGCTTTGCATGTCGTCGTGGTCGTCGTCTTCGTCATTGAACGCGTCCGACCCGGGCAGCTTGCGAAGAACTTGTCGGGGCCAGAAAAGCTGCGAAGAAATTAAAAAATAAATTGATCTTTAAATCTCTCTCGCAAGGAAGAAAAATTTCTCAAACTCGCTTACCTCCTTCGCATTTGTTCTTTGAGGCATTTTTCTTCTTCCAAAAGTCGTGAGCTTCTACCGAAGAAACGACCCATTTTTCCTTCTTTCTCTAAGCTAGACACTGAAAAACCAATTTTTTGCCTTCCCTCTGAAACGATCGAGATTCCCTGCCACGAAATCGCTCCAAACTCCGTGTCGATCGATTGGGATTCTTTAAGGCAGCGACCACCAAGACACGAAGCTTTAAGATCAACGAAATATCACTTAATCGAGCTAGAGATAGCTAAGTTAATTAATTTTAATTCATTCATTTGTTTATAGAAAAGGAACATTAGGTTTGGGAATATCCTAGCTATTCTAAATATATTCTTTAGGTTAATCAACAAAATAAGTTCATATTATTGAAGGGGTGTTAGTAGCTTTTTAAGATTGAGAAGGCCGACAAGGGCCATGCACGAGATGGAATCCCACTGCGGCATTCTATCAAACAGCCACTTTGCATGTCCAAACCCATCAAAGTGGATCTTGGC